ATCATAGCCGCCCTGAACGCCCGACCTCGAAGCCGCGCTTGGAGTTGATAAACCACCCAGCCGTATTCTGGCGAGATTCGCGCAGAGCGATGCTACAGGCTATCTGTGTTATTTCGTCGCAGCGGAGGTATTCGTTACGCACGCTGTCGCAGGCCCATTGGGCAGAGCGTGTAGCGGGATTAAGCGGTTGACGGAGCGCTCGAGGGAGTGGCGGGAGATTGGGGATGATTCGTTGACGGAGGAGTGAATAGTAGGGGACGGGGACTTTGAGGGAGATTTTTGTATGTTTTTTTTTTTTTTTCATCTTTCTGGGTCACAAACCTGTTTTTTCTGTTTTTTTTCCCCTGTGGTTATTTATTTATTTCCTGGGCGGACCTTACCTTTTCCTTATTTCTTTTTAACATGATTGCTGTCAATTTCAAAGTCTGCCCCGTTTCATGATTTTTTTTTTCTGGACATATGTTATATATTTCACCTACCCCTTTCTTACCTTAACCCCCTTTACCTCCGCGCTTTCTCTTCCCACACCCTCTTTTCAATGGGTGTTTGAGTCCTACTCGTTATGTCCCCCTTCGTTCGATTTTATTTTGCCTTGTATCATACCCTTCCCAGTCATGTCTGCATGCCCTTTCCCCTCGTTTTCTTTTCCGCTTTCTCCTCGCTTCTTTTCAGATTCCGGATGAGGAGCTTTTCTTTTCTTTTCTCTTCATATACCACTATACACTATATCACCCCTCGGTCTATCTCACAGTTCCTTCTTATGCCCTTCTTGTCTGTCTGTCTGTTTTGCCTCCGGGGAAGAAGTGCCGATTTCTATTATCTTTCCTATATTTTTCTTTTTACTTCTTTGGACAGCTGGAAACTTGGATAAAAAACAATTGGAATTGGAATATTTATTATATGGTAATTTTTGGTCTCTCGTGGGATAGGGAAATGTTGATCATTTTGAGAATTTTTGTTGTTTATTGTTAATGTCTCCTTTCTCTCCCCCCTGCCTTTCTTTCTCCTTTCCTTGAAAGATCTCCGTTTTCCTCCTTGAGAGGTTTATCCGATGCATTGCTGCTGAAATATTTCCTATATAAATTGGCTTGGGTATGCTAAAGTCTATCCGGCTATTTAGTCATCTAACTATCTATAACTATCTCTACACGCATGTGCGCATATAGTGTCTATCCATTCTTCCTGACTGTAATATA